GCCACTGGTTGAGGGCCCTGCTAAATGAGCTTACATGCTAGAGCTAGTGGGGTATATTGACACAAGGGGTATAGATAGGGGTAATGAAATAGGTTTGTAGAAAAGTAATCACTGAGAACTTAGTAGGTTATTTTTGACAGTTGCAGGAAAGGAGTCATCGGGGGGTGGGTGGGGGAGGGGGGGTTGAAAACCCGCTAACAGTATAAATTATATACTTTCCTGAATTTCTGAAGAAGTGTTTTTTAAAGGAGTGGAGATTGGGTGAAAGTCTAATGGAGAAGGGACAAAGGACACAAAACTAGGTAATAAAATACAGTCTGAACCTGATATAACTTCTCTATAGAGGGATTTGGTGAAATTGGGGACTGGGAGGGCAAGTGGCAGATGAGTTTCAATACAGATAAATGCAAAGTCATGCACTTTGGAATAAGAAACCCACAAGCAACTCATATATTACATGAAGTTGAGTTATGGATAACATTAAATGAAAAGTACTTAGGAACAATTATAGATAATAAACTTGGCAACAATATGCAATGCCGTTACAAAGGTTGGTACGGTACTGTCATGTATAAAAGGGGGCATTGATTTACAAGATCAGAAAATAAATTTGCCTCTTTATAAATCAATGGTAAAGTTCCTCCTTAAATATGCAGTGCAGTTATGGACCCTGGTTTTAAAGGAAGATATTGCAGAATTAGAAAAAGTGCAGAGGTGAGCTACAAAAATTACCAGGGATTGGAAAACATTAGTTATGAACAAAGACTAGAAAAATTGCGTTTATTTTCTGTATAAAAAATGCATTTCTGAGAGGATATCATAGCGCTATACAAATGCCTTCTTATGGATCAACAGCATGTGCTTCAAAGGTTGAACTCGAAGGACTTGAGTCTTTGTTTTCAACCTAGATTACTGTGTAACTATATCACTTTTGTCCGACATATTATTATTATTTAGAAAGCGCCAACAAATTCCGCAGCGATGTACAATGGGTGGACTAACAGACACGTATTTGCAACCATACGAGTTGGACGCTCAGGAACAGAGGGATTGAGGGCCCTGCTCAATGAGCTTACATGCTAGAGGGAGTGGGGTATAGTGACACAAAAGGTAAGGATAGGGTAGAAAAGTAGGTTGCTAGAATAGTATTTACTGAGGGCTTAGTGTTTTGTTTTGATGACAGGAGAGGAATCAGGGTGCGGGGAGGGAAAGCTGTTTACAGTTTCAGTGATATTCTTTCCTGAAGAAGTATGTTTTTAAAGATTTGAAGGAGTGGAGACTGGGTCAAAGTCTAACAGAGAGGAGAAGGGCGTTCCATAGGAACGGTGCAGCCCTAGAGAAGTCTTTAAGGCAAGCATCAGAGGTAGGAGTACAAAGGTTAGACGTAGGTCTTCAGCAGAGCATAGGGGCTTAGACAGGACATATATGTGTATTAGTGAGAATAGGTAGGTCGGAGCAGCATTGTGCAGAGTTGTAGGCAGGTACCAGGATCCTAAATTAAGCCCTATGTCTAATGGAAGGCCAATGTAGGGACTGACAGAGGGGGCAGACGTGGGAGGTGGGGGCTGACAGGAAAATGAGCCTCGCCGCCGCATTCATTTTAGACTAATAGGCAGGGCCGGTGCAAGGATTTTTGCCGCCCTAGGCAAAACATTTTTTGCCGCCCCCCCCCCATATGTCCTGCCCGCCATGTGACATCACAATGCCCCGCCCATATGCTCTGCCATATGGACCAACGCCAGTCTTCACAAAGTGTCTTTTATCGGAAAAGACAGTGTGTTTACATTAAAAAGCCTACAGGCACAGGCTATAGACACCAGAACCACTACATTATGCTGTAGTGCTTCTGGTGACTATAGTATCCATTTAATGTGAGGTAAATTAGAGATTAGTGCCACTAATAATATATTAGATTGCCTACTTACCACCAGATGAGGACAAGAGGCTGATGATGGGCTCTGTCTGGCTCCACAGGTCTGGTGTAGAAGAGGCTCTCTGGAGACTGTTTTTAACAGTGCTCACAACAATTAACGAACAGGAAGCAGCTCCATTTTTTAGGGCCCCTTACACAGCTCAAGGTCTGGGCCCCCAGGGCTTGACCGTGAGTATGCCTACAATGCCTACCCATAAATCCACCTACATTGCCCACCCATGAGTTCTCTCACAGGAAGTGGAGTGTATGTGTGTAGGGGATGTTTTATGTGTGTCAGGTTACCTGTTAAGGTTGCCTCCGAGGAGGACAGCCTCTCTTCATAGGGGCTCCCTTCCCCTAGCATTTCGGCATTTTCCTGCCGTTTTCGCGCCGGCCGCGCTAGCTCCTCCCCCTTTTATGACGCGACGGCTAGCGTCGACGTCATGACGTCATCATTAACGTGAAGTGCCGGGAACCGCAACTCTGGACCTTTTGGGGGCGTGGTCTCAATTAAGGTGACAGGGTATTTAAGGGAACTTTTACTACTGTTCATTGCCCTGTCGTGGTTCTAGCTTGCTAGTCACTCAGCGCGTTCTCTCTCTTAGTGTTTTCGGTTTTGACCTTGCTTGTACCTTTGTCCTGTTGCTCTCTCCTCTCCTTTGACCTGGCTTGTTCCTCGCTTACCTGTCCTCCGGCTCCCTCGACCTCGGCTTACCTTTTGACTATTCTTGTTTTGTCCATACATAGTTACATAGTTACATAGTTACATAGTTACATAGCTGAAAAGAGACTTACGTCCATCAAGTTCAGCCTACCTCACATTTGTTTTTTGCTGTTGATCCAAAAGAAGGCAAAAAAAAAAACCCAGTTTGAAGCACAATTTTGCAACAAGCTAGGAAAAAAATTCCTTCTTGACCCCAGAATGGCAGTCAGATTTATCCTTGGATCAAGCAGTTATTACCCTACATTGAAAGATTATATCCTTGAATATTCTGTTCTTGCAAGTATGCATCTAGTAGCCGTTTGAACATCTGTATGGACTCTGATAAAACCACTTCCTCAGGCAGAGAATTCCACATCCTGATTGTTCTTACAGTAAAAAAACCTTTCCTTTGCCTTAGACGAAATCTTCTTTCTTCCAGTCTAAACGCATGGCCTCGTGTCCTATGTAAAGTCCGGTTTGTGAATAGATTTCCACACAATGGTTTGTATTGGCCACGAATATATTTGTATAATGTTATCATATCCCCTCTCAGGCGACGTTTTTCTAAACTAAATAGGTTTAAATTTGTTAACCTTTCTTCATAGCCTATATGTTCCATTCCTTTTATAAATTTTGTAGCCCGCCTCTGCACTTTTTCTAGTGCCATAATATCCTTCTTTAGAACAGGTGCCCAAAATTGCACAGCATATTCAATATGGGGTCTTACCAGTGATTTATAAAGAGGCAAAATTATATTCTTGTCCCGAGAATGAATGCCCTTTTTCATGCATGACAATACCTTACTGGCCTTGGCCACTGCTGATTGACATTGCACATTGTTGCATAGTTTGTTGTCTATAACAATTCCCAAGTCCTTTTCATGTGTTGTTATCCCTAATTCGCTTCCATTAAGGGTATACGTTGCTTGTGTATTCTTTACGCCGAAGTGCATAACTTTGCATTTTTCAACATTAAATTTCATCTGCCATTTGAGTGCCCAGTCCCCCAATCTATCTAAGTCCCTCTGCAGCAAAGTAATATCTTGCTCACATTGTATTGTTTTACAAAGTTTGGTGTCATCTGCAAACACTGAAACATGACTTTCAATGCGGTCCGGCCATTCTAAGGTCCGGTATACGTAC